AAAAAAAAAAAGAAAGAAAGAAAGAAAGAAAGAAAGAAAGAAAGAAAAAAAAGAAAAGAAAAAGAAAGAACTGAGGATGAGGTTGTAGACAGTGTGTGCGTACATCAGTTTGGCCTTACAGCCTTGGGGGGCTTGATCAAGCCAAGCTCCGAATGGACGCACCTGTGATGGCCTGGAAGAGATCAGCACTGTAGTCTAGGTAGTTGTAGCCATCGTAGTCATAGGGCCCCTCGCAGAGGGCACGGCACTCCTCATCAGCCACAAAGTACTCTCGCAACGCCGCCTCGAGGTGGGGTACAGCTTCCTGTGGGTTCTCCTCCGAGTAGAGTCGCACTCCTAGCCGAAACTCATGCTACTGGAGAGAAGGTGTACTCAACGCAGGCTCCAGAGGGACCCCTCAACCTTGTCCTTGTCCCTACTTCTAAACTATGGTGGAAGGGGGAAACCTGGGTGCTGCTACATAGTGAAGGCTATTAGTAAACGGCCTTCCCGGGACCCTTGGAATTGACACACGTAACTCTTCATGCAGGGGAAAGGCAGAGTTTGCTCTAATTCTTATACATTTCTGTAGGGCTTCTGGTTTTCAGATAACAGGCTAGAGAAATATGGCTCAGTGATTAAGAACATGTACTTCCAGAGGCCCTGAGTTCAGTTCCCAGCATCCACATAGGGTGGCTCACAACTGCCTATGACTCCAGCTCCAGGGGATGTGATGTCCTCTTCTGGCCTCCTCAGGCACCCATATAAATTCTCTCTCTCTCACACACACACATACAAATTAAAAATAAATCACAACCCACCAAAACCCCCCTTGAAGCAACGTCTCACACAGCTCAAGCAGGCATCAAACTCACCAAATATCTGAGGCTAACCTTGAAATCCTGATTTGATTTCCTCTATCTCCCCAGTACTAGGATGACAGGTGCATGCCATCATGTCCAGCAAACACAAGTTTCCTTTTAAAAGTCGTTCTGGGACTAGGGAGTGATAGAGTGCTTAGCATGTGTACTGTGTATGTGGGATGCCATTCTGGGATGCAGTGTTTCTTATATTTGTATGTAGATATGAATAATGTATATATAAACGTAATTTTTTTTTGTTGTTGCAGAATACAAACCTAGAACCTTGTGTGTGCTAACCACATGTTCTATCAGTGAGTATATCCCTAGGGTCTCTAACGTTCTGATTTATAAACTATTAATATGATAGAGATCATAAGTTCTTTATGAAAATGCTATTCAAATGTTAGGTCAAAAGGTGCTGAAAACACACAAAATACGATACTAAGTTAAATAATTAATTATGGGAGACTTAGGGCCAACTTGGACTACATAGTACCAGGACTGCACAGCAGCTCTCACACACACACACACACACACACACACACACACACACACACACACACACACGGTACCATATGGGGCTTGGCCTCGAGATCCTTGAAGTCTGCTTCCTTTACCCCAGACATGGTTTGGTAATAGTCGAGGTTCTGCCGCATCTCCATGTGTTCAGGATTGCCCACAAAGAAGGTGTGGGCAGCCGCCACAGCTTTCTCTAGCTTGTTTATCTGCGGATGAAGTAAAACAATGAGTTCCCATCCAGACTCTGTGGGGTTTGATCGTCTGCTTGGTTGGTTTCTGTGTGTGTGTGTGTGTGTGTGTGTGTGTGTGTGTGTGTGTGTGTGTGTGTCTACTGACACGGGGTGTCACTACGTAGGTCAATCTCGCCCTCAATCCTCCTGACTCAGATCCCAAGTGCTGGGATGATAGGTGAAACTCTGTCTTCAAACAAACAAACAATTGAAATGTAGTGACTGAAGGTCTAAATGATTTTGGACTAGGGCAGAAAGAGCAGTTAACAATTACACTGTGATCAGAATCCAAGGGCTGGGCTCAGAGGACCCTGCCCCATGCCCAGCTTACTCCCCTGCCTTTCAGGACTGCTCCTGCCTTCCTCTGTCATCCACCCCACCTAAGAGCCTTTTTACCTCTAGGCACGGGCACCTGGTTTCCTCCGGGGGACTGTTTTCACCGCTACCACTTTCTCCTTCTGCCTATTTTATCCATCTGGCTTCCAGAACTAGCCTTCTGAAAGCTAAGTCTGATGATGGTTGCCCGAAGTCTGCACAAGTTTCTTCTGAATCCAGCCTCCCTAAACTTTGCAGTCACTTGCTGTTCTCCATATACATGCCCACACAGGAGTCCCTGCAATGAACGACCCGTGGCCCCAAATACATTATGCTCTAGCTCTGCTTTCCTTTTGCTGGGGAAAAAACATTCTTCAATGTCACCTCTTCTCTCAGGCCTGATTTAACTGAAGCAAAGCTAGAGTGCTTAGTGCTCCCACAACACTAAATCTACATAACCATTTCAGTTAGCCCTTAGTCCAGTGACTCCTAGCAGTAACAAAAGGTAAAACAAAGAGTCAATCAATCATCCTCATCACCTGTCCAAGAGCTGGAATGTAGTAGGTGTTCAATAATTGTCAATGTCAATGAATTTTAAGTAGCGCTGTTAAGTGACATGACCTAAGTCGGAACCCAATCATTTGGGGCTTGTAAGTCCAGCTCTCAGCCCAATAACCAGAAGGAATGGAGGGAATAAGCAGAAATCTGAGGTCCTCAAGAGCCTCTAAGTCTCTTTAGGGTAGCATTGAAGGTCTGTCAAACTGTTATCGCTATGCAATCTGTGTGTGTAGCCCCTCCCCCTGCCCAAAATGGGACTAATAACATTATTCAAAGGATACTGTTTCAGGGCAAATCAGTTAATAAATGCAAAGTGCTTTGAATCCTGGAAATACACGCTGCCAGTCACCTGGTGCTCCAAGCCCGTTTGTTGACTTGGCCTTAAAGCGTTGTGGCATCCCTAAAGACGGTCATTTTTTAAAAAACAAAAACAAAACAAACCCAAACAACAACAGAACCAAAAACTGGCATACTAGTCAGAGGGTCCTCCACAGGGAGGAGCCAGGCAGCCCCTGCTGGCGACGTGGCAATCCCACGTCCTGAAAGCGCTGCTCTTGGATTCGGGAGCAGGAAAAGCATGATTGGAGAACGAACCGGAAGGAAGATGCTGCAGAAGCGCCTAGCTTCTCACTTGGATACTTGCAATGAAGGAGGGCTGGGAGGCCCAAGCGGTCGCCTCGGTTCCCTCTAGGAGGCCTTTCCAGAAGGAAAGGTCAGGTTCTTCTTGGCTTGGGCTGTCACTACTGGCTGGACCTTTAGGGTTAGCATCTGCCCATAAGAACCAGATGAAGCGCCCTGAGTCCGCCCAGAGCTCCCTAGGCAAGAGGCCCCTTTCCTCCCTGCGGACTCGACCCTGCTCTGCTCCCTGAGTTCCCCCAGGTCTCCCCAGGCTGCCGGGCTCCGGGCTAGTCGCACCTTGAAGTAGGCGACTTGCAGGTAGTTGTAGGGACTCCTCTTGTTGAACTCCAGGTCCAGCTCCTCGCTCAACAAGTGGGCAGCGGGCGGCCCGAGGCAGCGGCGCAGGCAGGCGGCACGGCGCAGCAGGGCCCCGAAGAAGCGCAGATCGTGCAGGGCGGCGGCGCCTAGGTCCTGGCTCAGGCTAGGCGCCGGACCGAGATCGAGGTCAGGCGCCCACGGCAGCTCGGCCGCGCAGCGGGTGCGGCAGCGCAGGCGGAGGGCACGCAAGGCGGCCCGCGAGCGCAGCGCCCGCTCCATGCTCAGGACCACCCCGGGCCAGTCCCCGCGCGCGTAGGCGGCGGTCCCCTCTGCGTAAAGCAGGTCAGGGGCTGCCACGTCCCATCCCGGCTCAGACTCCTCTGTGGCCCGCGAGGCGGCGGCTGCGGCGACGGCTAGCAGCACGGCCAGCAGCCTCCTTGCGGTCACCGCCATAGCCTTGCTCCTCCACTTAACGGGACAGCTCGCCTCGGGCACAAGCCAGCATCCCGCCCCGCAGAAGCCACGCCCTAAAAACGAGCCACGCCTCAAGTCCAGGAGCCCGTGGCCAGGCAGCTTGCACCGCCTCTTGCTTTCAACCAATCCGAACGCCCGCTCTTCGCGGGACTCCGCCTCCAAGCTCAGGCACGCCGTTCAATGGTCGGCGAACGAGAAAGCCCCGCCCACAAGCTGTTGTGCGCCTGCGCCCCGTTCCCCCTCCCTCCCCCCCCCTCACCGCAGGCGGTGGGGTTGAGGTGCTGTCATGGCGGACCCGGCGGCTCCCGGCCGGTTGGAAAGAGACACTGGAAATCTAGGGGTCCAGGAGGCGGCGGGTCCTGGAGGTAGGTGGGACTGAGTTGGCCGGGGGAAGAGGTCGCAGCCGGGCGGCTCGTCTCTGCTGCCTCGCGGGAGGCTGAGGGCTACAACTTACGCCCGTGTTCCCGGGTGTGTGTCGCAGGAGCCCTGGTGGAGCTCACCCCGACCCCAGGCGGCCTGGCTCTTGTGAGCCCCTACCACACCAACAGGGTCGGGGACCCTTTAGACCTCGTGGCGCTCGCCGAGCAGGTACAAAAGGTGAGGAATAGCCATCTCTGTACTTTAAACCCTGCGTCTTTGGGCTCTGACCTCAAATTTCATCTGCACCCTAGGACAGCCTGTGAGCTCAGCAGTATAGGGTACTATTCCATTTCACTTTATCCCCAGTTCTTTGTTGTTGTTTGTTTTTGATACAGGGTTATCATGAAACTATTAGACTAGTCTGGTCTTCAACTCATTTCCACCTGCCTCTTTCTTCCTGGGATTAAAGACATGCGCCACCAAGCTCGGCTTGGATCCTAAATTCTTCAATAGTCAATTATTTTATGCTGCTTCCCGTAAAGACTTTATCTGTTACCTAAGAGCTTGTGGAACTTAAATATGTGCTATTTCCTTTCTTTAAAAAAAAAAAAATGGTGCTGGGGGTGTAGTTTAATGTAGTTTACACCACTTGCCTAGGCTGAATTTGATCCTCAGCACTACCAAAAACAACATGCAAAAAGGCACAAGGTAAAAATACCCATTTTAGATTAAAACAACAACAGAAACTGGAGACAGTTTCATCTTGCTGGATAGCGAGGCTGGCTTCCTAGTCATCCTCCCAAAGGCTGGGTATTAACAGGGGTGGCTGCCACACCTGGTGAATTTCAGTGGATATGGTATTCCTATGTTGAGAGCTTAGACATTGGTTACCATAACCAGTAGAATAAAGAACATATGCAAGATAATGGAAAAGGTAATAGAAGTTTGGACACATCAGCTTTGGACAGATTGCTTCTCTCTGGAGCTCAGGCTCTGTAGATGAGAGGTTTGAGGTGGGAGAGCGCCGGGGTCTAAGTGAACCCCTAGGTTCCATCTCATCTCTTAGCAAGACTTCCGGGCGTGGAATCCTTTTCAGTACCAGAACCTGGCCACTTTAAAAGCCTCTAGTGTCCCCTCCCTCTTGGATAAACTAGTTTATTTGGCAATCATCATGTTCAAAAGATTGTTTTAATCAAGAAAATTCATGATAATATGCCCAAACCCCTACATAAAAAACCATGTCTGCTGTTTTAGTTAAGAAAAATTCAAATGTTTGGGAAAGCCCTTTTAATTAAAACCTTACATTTTTATTTTTATTTTTACTTTTTAAAATAGAGATGGGAATGAAATGGAACTTCTGTGGATTAGAAGAATATTGTGTGTCTGTTTAGTCAGATCACCATTGAGAGGGAGGTAGCCAGGGACAAAATCTTGGGCAAACAACACTTTGAATTTCTCTGAGTGACTGTCATGGACTCAGCCAAAGGAAGAAGGAGCACAGTTTTGGTCTTTTATACTATAATCTAGTGAAATATAAAGGATATATTATTCTGTTGCCTCCAATTCTCCAGTATAGTCAGTCCACCTTTGAGAAGCTGAATTAAAAACCACTTTAAAAACAAATTGAGAGCTGGAAAGATGGCTCAGTGGTTAAGAGCACCGATTGCTCTTTGAGAAAACCCAGGTTCAATTACCAGCACTCACATTACAACTCACAACCATTTGTAACTCTAGCCCCGGGGGATCAAATGTCCACTTCTGGCTACTGTGGGCACTACTTGAACATGATGCACATACACACATACAGGCAAACACCTATACCCATACAATAAAAAAATTAAAAACTAAGTGAATCAACATATTCACTGTCTACATACTGAAATACACTTGCTAAGAGGAGTGACTCTTGGCTCCCTTAATGTGTGTTCAGAAAGCTTTGGGAGATTTGGTATTGAGGATTGGTTTTTGGCATTAGGCTCATCTGTGTTCAGATCCTTCAACTGCCGTTTATTAATTGTAAAACCTTAGTTGCTACACTTGTTTGAGTCTTAATGCCTAAGTAAAGTTATTGTGTCTGGAGAGTTAGATGTTATTAATACAGAGGTTCTTGGAGTGGTTAGGTCCAGGATCAGTGCTTAGTAATCATAAATACCCTTTTGGCTCAGGGGTTAAGAGTACTTGCTCATGCAGAGGACACAGGTGTGGTTTCTAGAACCTACCTGGTGGCTCCCAGCCATTCATTACTCCAGTTCCAGGGGACTGACTGCCCTCGTCTGAACTCTTCAGATGCCAGGCACATGTGGTGCACATACATACAGGCAAGACACTCATACACATGTTGTCTTAGTCGGGGTTCAACTGCTGTGAAGAGACACTATTACCATAGCAACTTTTATAAAGGAAAACATTTAATGGGGAGCTTACAGTTTCAGAGGTTCAGTCCATTATCATTATGGAGGGGCTTGGCAGCATGCAGGCTGGAGCTGAGAGTCCTACATCTTGATATGCTGGTAACAGGAAGTGAACTGAGACAATGGATGGAATCTTGAGCATATGAGACCTCAGATCCGGCCTCCACAGTGACACACTTCTTCCAACAAGGCCATACCTACTTCAACAAAGCCATATCTCCTAATAGTGCTACTTCCTTTGGGGGGCCATTTTCTTTCAAACTACCACATTCCACTCCCTGGCTCCCAAAGGCTTGTATTAGAATGCAAAAATCAGTCCAACTTCAAAAGTCTCCATAGTCTATAGCAGTCTCAAACTTACTTAAAAGTTGAAAGTTCAAAGTCTCTGAGATTCATGCAATCTCTTAACTGTAATCCCCTGTAAAATCAAAATCAAAAAGCAGATCACATCCTTCCAACATATAGTGGCACAGGATATACATTATCATTCCAAAACATAGGGAAGGGAGCGTAGTGAGGAAATACAGGATCAACGCAAGACTACAAACCAGCTGGGCAAACTCCAAACTCTGCATCTCTGTGTATGATTACATGGAGTGTAGGATGAATGTTTTTTTGGTCCCACCAAGCCCCTGCAGGCCAGTGGCCCATTTATAGAATAATCTCTTAGAAGCTTATATTAATTATAACTTCTTGGCCATTAGCTCAGGCTTATTGCTGACTACCTCTTATACTTAAATTAACCCATAATTCTTTCCTATGTTTAGCCATGTGGCTTGGTACCTTTTCTCAATTCTGCCTTGTCGTCTTGCTTTCTTTTTTTTTTTTTTGGACTTGCAGTTGGTTTTTGGTTTTTTTTGTTTTAATTTTAAATGTCGAATGTCATTTCTTGAAGGGGGTAGGTGGTTAAATACAGGCTTACAGCATAATGGGAGGACCCCAGAGGGCAGAAGTTCGCTACTGATGTTTTACAATCTTGCATTCTTTTTTTTTTTTTTTTAAAGATTTATTTATTTTGTATACAGCATGTCTGACTGCAGGTCAGAAGAGGGCACCAGATCTCACTACAGATGGTTGTGAGCCACCATGTGGTTGTTGGGAATTCAACTCAGGTCCTCTGGAAGGGCAGCCAGTGCTCCCAACCTCTGAGCCATCTCTCCAGCCCTCATCTTGCTTTCTTTATGTCTGGCTATTGACTCCTGACTCAGCATTTCCTCTTCCCAGAATTCTCATGTGCTTGCTCCACCTATACTTCCTGCCTGGCTACTGGCCAGTCAGCGTTTTGTTAAACCAGTGTACAAGGGCATTATCCCACAGTAATGGAGGACATGCTCATGTTTGTGGCAGATAAGGGTGCGGAAGCACCAAAGCCCAGTGTGATTAGAGTTCACAGTGGATGGCGATGGAGATCGGTGGAGCGTTTCATTCTGGGTGTGGGGTCATTCCAGTGTGGGCTTCTGAGTTGGGCCTTAGGGTGGGTAGAGATTTACATGGCAGTGGAGCAGAAAGGTAGACGCAGAGCTGTTGGCATAACTCCTTGAATTGCATCTTGATGAACCCCAGGTGCTGCTTGTGTTTTCTCCCTACAGTTTGCTTTTCTGTCCTCTGTAGGCCGATGAATTCATCCGAGCAAATGCTACGAACAAGCTGACAGTCATTGCTGAGCAAATCCAGCATTTGCAAGAACAAGCTAGGAAGGTAAGAGAGATGCATGTCCAAGGCCGGTGCAGGTTAGGCAGGCTTTCCTTTTCCTTTGCTGGGAGGATTGGCTGAACTTAGAATCATATTGTCTTTTTTGTTTTTAAATGCAAGAACTATGCCCAAGAGCTTTTGTTAGTTTATTTTGTGTTGCTGTGATGAAATACCTGAGGCAGGTTAACCCTAGAATGATGTTTATTTTGTGCACAGGTTTAGAGGGTCAAGGGCATGGTGCTGGTGCAGCTCAGCTCTGGGGAGAACTGTCGGGTCACATCTAGTCATAGCAGGGCCTGTGTGGGAGAACAGACGCATCTTCAAACAGAGGGCTGGAGATTCAGGAGTCAGGCCCAGGCCTTTACAACATCGAATCCTGTCTCAGTCTTCATGTCGCTCCCCCCAGAACTCCCTCCTGAGGGCAGTGCCTAGGAGACTTAGGACCTCCTACTAGGCCCTCCCTCTTACGTCACTTCACTGGTGGCCCAGCTCCCAGAATCCTTTAGGAGACAAATGACATCTGAACCATAACAGAAGTTAAGCAGAAGTGGGATTTGTTTCTTAGCCAGGAGAAAAGTGATTAAGTTTTTTAAGGGAGAAAGAATTTCTTTTATAAAAAAAAATGTACTGACCCAGGAAAAGAGGGACTTAAGTATCCCCCAAGCCAGCTGCACTCAGCATGTAAAAATCTTATCCCTCTAACAGTTTTTCCCAGCAGAGCAGCTTGTGTCATTTCCACATCTTCTGACTGTTTGGGCCCCAGTCGTGAGTCCTTGCTGCTGGGGAACCAGACTGAAAGCTTGGGATTCGTGCTTTGGCTGGGGGTGTGGGTGAGGTGAGGTCCCGCCCACTCAGTACTTGCCTTACTGTGTGTCTGGCAGGTACTGGAAGATGCTCGCAGAGATGCTGACTTGCACCACGCGGCTTGCAATATGGTGAAAAAACCTGGCAACATTTACTATCTGTACCAGCGGGAAAGTGGCCAACAGTACTTTTCCATCATTTCTCCAGAGGTAAGAACATTCATTCTCAACTCTAAACCAGCTCCAGCCTTTGAGAAACTCTGGGCATGTTTGTATGAAAATGCAAGCCTGTAGCTTGGCCAGTGGTGTCCTAGAAAATGAGGTGAT